ACTTCATTGGTGAAGAGGGATGGTCATCCTATTTTCCAGAACTTGACTCACTTGACCCCACGACTGGTCCCTGGCTAGAAGAGGACCTGTCGAGTTTGCAATCCCAGTTTGGATTCCTAGAATGCAAAGGCTGAAGAATGGCTGGGAAGAAATGGAGGAGGACCTGCGTGCCACATGCGATCAAGTCGAGAGCAAACTTTGACTTCTATCCGCGCTCATGGGGATATTTTTAAAGGCGACTGTAGCATGTTGTAGCACATAGTGTTGGCTAATGTGCATAGAGATTCCATCGTTTTTCGCAGCTGAGAAGTTTGAAATATATTGCTATAAATCGGCGCCAATAATTTTGGGACACCCTGTACATCTGGATTCCTCTTCAACCATCTTCAACAGGTGTTCGTCATTGAGCGCAGCTGGTGTCGAGTTTGTGTTTTTCGATCTATACAAAGTATATAGAATTTATATAGTCTTATAGAATTTGACTGGTTTTTCATCACAGTACCTCTTTCGTTGAGGTTAGGTAGAGTTACTCATCGGCGTGATTCCTTGAACTGGAGTCGATCCTGAACGCAACAAAGTCCGAAGTTAATGGTACGTTCCCGAGATCCAGCTTGATTATTGTACTCTAATGTCGTGCTCATTTTTCGCTCATTGCCCGATACTGCTATGTTTCTGCTTCAAAACCTCGGACCAGCTCCTAAAACCTACTACTGTCCACGAGTTATTGGCGGGTTTCTTCGGCATGTTCCCATTGTGGGTGAGCCGTCGGTGTGATGAGCGTACTTCCACGTGTATTTCTGTTCGATGAAAGTACACCCTCCAGGAGTTGGGTAAAGCAGCAACAGTACGAGCTGCCGTAATAGGAAGCTTCGTTACAGCATTACGTTATACCCAGAGGAATTCCATCGCGTGACAGGTGTCATTCCTGTTCGGCCTTGCTCTCATGTGTCTTTTTTTAGTCAAACTGCTTCAAAATAAACTCTTCTTTGTGGGACCGATTGTCACTGAAGGTGGTTTGATAAGGTTGTTCATGGAAGTCGCACAGATGGCCTAGAAGTATCAAACAGTGCGAATGGATTGGCGTGTGAAATTCAGTGAGGTGGGGAAAGCCGAGTGGACAAGGATAAAAAACCCCCATTCTGCTTAACTGTAGCCTAAAAGTTCGATCCTTGTAGAGGAAAAACCATCTATGAAGTGCCCTTCTCAGTCAGATCCTAGTTGGCAGGCCGACTGATTGAGGGTTCTAAACACAACAAAAATGGTTTAAATCTCAAAGGAAAACAGTTATACTACAGTACTTCTCCGCACAGGACCCCGCTCAAGTTTTTTGAACAGTATGCGAGGGCTACCTAGAGGTGAACAACATTATATTCAAATTTTATTCATGTATTTATTCATTGCTTTATTTACTCTGCGACCAAAGGACGCGTTATAGTAAGACAGGCGGCGAAATACAGCAAGCAGCAGTCAGTTCACATAGAAATGACTAGTATTTAAAAGGAAAAAAATCAGGAGCAAAAGTCAATAAACACACACTAACTACCGTAAGAAAAGCATATTGTAGAAGCGGTTGAAGCATCGCCGATAAGGGCGATAAATTGAGGTTTCGACTTGGATCGCGTACGGGAAGTCTTCAGAAGTTGATGATCTGATGAGGGCACAAAGGAGAACGTCCAATGCTTCCTTAAAACACGCCTGGAAGGAGCAATGGTCAAAGAATGGTACAAGGTCTACTACAACAAAGAAGACGTAAAACGAAGCAGGGTGCCATATCAGTTACACAACCCCTCAAGAACTCCGTTTTCGTCGTCAGTAGACGAGCGGTTGAATCCGAGTGTGAAGATAGGCGGGAATGATGGAAACTAGAAAGGGTTCGCGGATACAGAGGGCTAAGAGTCAGGAAATAGCACTAGAATGGCTGCTCCATTCAACTACAGCCCATAATTTTCCAATCTTCAGCAGCACCGTTTTCAAAAACGACAGTCAGAGGCTTTACTTCAGCAGTGGTGAGGCAAATGTAAATCGAGCATATACTGAAGGAGATCGTCCCTAAAAACTATGTAGGAATCAAAGATGAATAGGCTACGTAGCACAAGTCTATCGTAGCAAACACAGGCAGTGGGCTTCTCAAGAAATCAAGGGCAAGAACGAAGTGGAAAAATCGGTTTTGGAGAAAGGCCTGCCGGAGCTGCTTCATCATGTTCTGAAGGCCCGATCTACCCCATCCACATATTAGAACAGTGAATTGGGCTCATTCTACCGTGAGCATGAATATAAGCACAAGTAATGGCATAGATGCAAGCTCCAAAGGTTGATGAGCACTATATGCTTCAGGAAGAATCTCAGGAGCGTGGATGGATTGCATTTTTATTTCAATCTTCAGAAAGAGGTACGGCGAAGTGCTTCAACCTCCGTGCAAGTAGACTGACCGTCATTACAGTGAACTAGTTTACTTAAAGCCGGGAGAGCTGCCAGGATTAAATTCAGCTTCATGCCAGAAGCAGGATGACCGGATGACATCTTACCTCACTTCCTGAGTCTTCTTCCATCTGGAAACAGCATTCAACTGCGAGTATCTGTTTATGCATGTCATGGGCCTCGAGACGAAATGAGCGCCTTAACTTTCTGGTCAGGGACACATGCGATTGATTCAAGACAACTAACTATATGCGCTACTGATAGCCTAGCAGAAGCAATTTGCGCCTTGGTTAGGGTACAGCAGCAAGGAGCGACCTCATGCATACACTTCCTCTGGATGACACCTAAGACTTAGTGAGAAGGTCACAGAACCACCCGATGAGTTTGAACGTTAGAAAAGCGACATCTTAATCAGCAAGAATTCCCCGGAAAATGTGGTATTTTCAAAGAGGTGGCCATTATTAACATATAAGACGAGCGGACCCTGTCAAAGAGTTGAGTGATCGTCGGTGATAGCAAGAACACTAAGAAGAAGAGGTAGAATAGTACATCTATGCGAATTAGAAGAAGGAACAGGAAACAAAAAGAAAGGGTCAGCAAGTTGGAGGCAGGAAGAAAAAGGAACAAAGGACATCGAACGCGGAGAGAAACAAAGAAGAAGAAGGAAGAGAATTGAAATGAGAAAGAAGTAGGAGTTACAATGAAGAAAGAAGAATGAAGGAGAAAGAAGAGGAAAGAAGAAGGAAAAAGGATGGAAGAATAGGGAATGATGAAGGAAGATAAAGGAAGAATAAGGAGTAAAAGAAAGTGCTGGCTCGTGAGCAAATGAGATCATCGTGAGATTATCTGATAAGGATAGCAATAAAGTTCGAAGCTTGAGGAAAGCGATTTCTAGGAGTCTCAAAAAAGAGCTGGAAAAATGGTGTCAAAGTAGACATCTCCAAGACTAAGATAATACAGTTAGGCGAAAGTGGCGACAACTCACAGAACAAAGGACTTTGTGGCTGTGAGGGATTAACACTGGAGTGAAGATGAAGAAGATGTTGTGTAGTGTGGTCTGCCATAACAGTCGTTGTTTTACTGAAAAAGCGTCAAATTTCGTCAGGAGACCTACATGTGTGTAGTTGCAGAATGGATTGACTTGAGAAGTTTCATTTCATTCCGTTTCATTTAATACGTTTAGAAACCGCGCTTAAGAGTCCATTAGAATGAGACCACTGGAGAATAAGTTATGGTGTAAACAAGACTATGAACACAAATGACAACGATAAAAGAAATAGAGGGAGAAAGAGATAAAAAAATCCACCTCAATAACTCAACTTTTCGTCTCAGAGTAAAGTATGGTCACCAGAAGGATTATTTCCAATCAAGAAAAGAAGGAACATAAGAAAACAGAAAAAAGAATATGAATAACACAACTATACGTACATAGAATCAGCAGAGTGGAAGCACTCTTATGCATCGAGAGGTACGACAAAGCCCTCAGCCTCAGCTCACGTGAGAACGGAAAGGTATATCAGAAGCCCACCATGAGACCCTGCATCGCTCGGTGAGATTCCCGCTTGCCACGTGGGGGTCATAGGGACTTCGAAACACGGGTATACTGACAATCCACGTGGATACAACAGCGCCCCTGAAGAAAAGAAAAAAGTGCGCCGCGCCACACGAGGATGAATTGAAGAGCTATCACTCGGAAGAGTATATGTAATCCAATATCACAGCATAAAACCAACCACTCGACGGAAAGGCAGAGAGGAGCGGAGTAGATGCAAGACCATTCCATACGCATCGGGTGCCGTGAAGGAAAGACTGTTGAATAGAGAAGCATTTCATCGCGAGCTTTAGCAGAACCTATATTCACGAGAACCGATAGCAGTGCTGTTGAAGATGCTCGATTCGCGCCATTTATTGAGGAACGACGGGAAACTAGGAGAAACTCGCGGTGGAGGGTGAACCTATTTGATCGAGTTTTTTTTGCAAATCAGAAATGTTTTTCGCATCCAAAATGTTAGGTTGGAGCGTCTGCAACCATCTGGCACCTCCGAAAAGCATTTGAGGGTCTTGGCTTGGTAATACCTACCATTCCCCTCATATTGGAAAGCTCAGTGTTCCGGCTTGTGCACCGTCCAAAAATCCAGTACTCGCTAGTACTTGATCTTTAACTCGCCCCTAGATCATTGAAATCTTGTCTACGAACAAGGCTGCCAGAACTTGTGAAAGATGGTCTGCGAATGTGTAATGGAAATGACGAGAAAAGTACCGCAAATAATTCCTTCACGGGCGGTGCATAGCGATATCGACTGGAGGGAGACTGGACCGAATGATTACTCCTTAGATGGGTTGTCCAACTACGTTTCCTGGAAGTTTTCTGATCATCAGAACAAGACCTCTTGAAGCAATCCCCCTGTTGAGCGCTCTCAGTTCTTTATGTTGAGAAGGGGACTCGATATTCAGTGATCTTTTCAGGAATCCTTGAGAGCAACTCAAGTCATGATTTCGATGTTTATAAGAGATAAACATTGTAGACGAAATGTGCGTTGTATTTAGTTTCGAAACTATTCTAAAGCGCTTCCTCTCTGCTTCTAATAAATACGAGCTAGTCTTTCGTTTCTTTCGGCAAGCTTGCGATGAGCCGTCGATCGGGGTCCCCAGAGCTCTGCATCCGGTTTGAACAGGCGCTTCGGATTCATACGGTTGCGGTAGAAGTACCAAACCTGGAATTTCACTATTGCATCTAGAAATCAAATTTAATTTTATTTTATATCACAAAAAGAAATAGTATGTGCTCGGCAAGTTAAAAAGTGTAATCACTGATGAAATAAGGCTAGAAATGAGAACGAAAGAAAGGAGTAATGGATTAGCTTCTGGACCACTTAGAGTATGGATGGAATCATTCTGATGGTGGCAACAAATATAAGGTGGTCGAAGAAAATATTCGTCCAATTATATACTTTGGATTCAAAATTTCCTTTTTCGATAGCAGATTACCGAGATTACCGATAGAACAATGCAGAATTGAAGATCGTAGTTATTCCAAGTTGAGAGTTAATCTCAGAAGAATGCGAGTGATGATAGCGCCTTTACATTTTACGCTCACCATTCCGCTACTCCACTAAGTTTGATTTTATTGGGATGGTTGGCTGTTTTGCATCTCAATCTGTTGATAAGCCACTACGGGTCTGGCAATCGCTACAGTATCAAATGAATTGATAATAATGATAATTAATAATATTCAGTAATAAGTAGTGATATCAGTAAACAAACCCTATATACAGCACAAATAGGAATTGGGCATAATAAAAGTGCGAGAAGAAGGCTGTCACTCGTCTCAAAATTCGATTGTGGATCCGTTATGAATAGATATGCGGCGAGCTAAAATTCTATTGAATTTTTACACTCCAACTAGGCATTTTTCTTTTTTTTAAGTTTTTGATAAACAGTATTCCGCTTAGAAAATGTGTATGCCTTGAGAAGCTACGCATTTTACCATTAAGGAAATCAAGAAGCTCGAAAATGATAATTGTTCAGGGCAAGTCAGGTCAGAAATGGACGATGGGAAAAAACCAACAAATAGAGCGATGGGAATCAATCCTGCCCACAGCAATGTCGATAGGATTTGATAATAGTAATCTGTGGTTGAAACGGTCCCAACAACCTGAAACCATAATTGTTATGTTGGAAGAGTTTAAGTCTTTTTCTTTTCAAACAGAAGGAAAGGAAACTTTATTTCGATCGTATTCGAATATGCGGATAATAAGATATAGAAAGCATTTCGAACAATCAATATGGTATTGTTTTTTTTGGATTAGTCATTCTACCTACAGGCCGTATAGGAACTTCCAAGGGAAAGGGTGGGTGAAGACATCCCGATTTGTTTGAATGTGTTCTCGGTATACATATATCTATCGATTGAAGCTGAGGAAGCCTAATAGGCATCACGTCATATGTACATATGGGATGTACGGCCTGTTTCGAATGAAATATCCGAGCTGATGCGATTTCCTATGGCTGTGGTCAATTCGTCTCCCATAGTTTGAGCTTTTAGGAATGTAGTTAGGCCTGATTTTTCCAAAAGGGTAAAGAAAAGTCATTCCTGATATGGTCTCATAAGGACTCTTCTTTACGCTTCCAGATCATGTCAGAACGAACTTTTCTTTACGCTTTTTCGAAAATCAACTCCTCCCTAACTACATTCCTTAGAGCTCAATCTATGGGAGATGAATTGAACATAGACATAGTAGATCAAATCAGCTCGATTGTAAAGCCCAATTTCGTACGAAACAGTCCGTCCATGTTAAATTACGGTACAGATTTTTAGTTATTTAGATATTTGATCTTGATAGGTGTAATTGGGAGCTTACAGCTTTGCCAACAGTCATTGTCGTGACATTTGATGCTACTCGTTGTGTTCCATAGAAAAAGCACACAACAAGAAGTTCAGCAAGAACGATAATAACACTTGCCGCTGGCATCGTATTCGTTGTAAAACCAAGTTTATCAAGAGCGCAATCCTTTAAGGGAAAAAAGATTTTTTTTCATTTCTTGATAAAAAAGATAAAGGGATAAAGTCTCAGGGCATTTATCAATTCCGTCTGAGGGATGCGCCCATATATTCGACTTCCATTCAGAATCGTAGTGGCGTATTGAATGCGTATGTGGCCTATACAATGACTCGCGGTAGCCAGCCGGTGTACAAGTCAGTGTTTTTATCCTCTCAGACGACTGCGGTACCCATTAACCGACCCCAGAAGGATGGAAAGCTTAGTTGGCCTAGGCAGATGTCGATCCTGGCTTTGACCTCGTGACCATGCGTGTGTGAAGTGCGCCACTACAACACCTCGGTCATTTCTTACTAATATTATCATTAACTAACTTCCTTTATTTTATGAAAATGTTTCATTCGCCCGAATGAAAAAAACTAACGCTGCAAAAAGGAAACACCTCGGTCATTTCTTACTAATATTATCATTAACTAACTTCCTTTATTTTATGAAAAGTTACCTTCAGCCCGAATGAAAAAAAAACTGACGCTGCAAAAAGGAATAAATGAAAACAATATTGCTGCCAAACAGATTATATACAGAATTGCTGTTCGAGTCGCTTTATTCGGTACTGTTTGAGTATAATCCATCATAGTGGAAAATAAAGCTTCAACTCGCATAATCTGAATTACAAATTTTGATTTTAATTTTAATTTCAAATTTTGAGAATTACAAATTTTGATTTTAATTTTAATTTCAAATTTTGAACTCCGATTTTTCTGAATCAAAGTTGGATTTTTTTGATTTTGTTTTTCCGTTTCATATGTTGAATTTTTAATCTTATTTTCCAGATTGATTGAATGAAAAATTTAATTCAAAGGCAGATACTGCTGTGATAGAGGCCAGGAGAATAGAGTATTATTTGTTGCGTTTCTTGCAATCTTTTGCTAGATAAGGACACTAGGTTCTATTGGGGCGGGCCTACCTGAGGAGTCTCCTTGAAGTTTCACCACACCATATGTAAAGCTTCTCCTAAGGTAATAACCCCGCTCTTCAATTACGGACAGTAATTTCTCAATCAACTCCACTTTGCTCTTACTTTATTTTTCATGGATGGATTT